TATTTTAATGAAGGGATAATGCTAAAAAGTAATCTGGATGCATTTTGTTAAGGTAATCACATTATCAAAATTTATTTCCTTCTTCATTTTAGAACTCTGCCTTCCATGCCTTTCTGATGTCACATAGCACAATATGAAACATGGAAACTGACTTGTTAGCAGGTCCATAAGCAGCAGCAAGTACTACAAACAACCAACAGTAGCTCAGAAACTTAATTGTAGTTACACAGGTAAAAAGAATCAGAGATGAACAATGGTAAAGTCTTTCTACATCCTAATTTATTTCATTCAGAAAAGGTTTACACAATACATTCATGCATGCATGTATGCACACACACACACACACACACACACCCTAACACATGCATGTATGCATACACACACACCCTAACACATGCATGTATGCATACACACACACCCTAACACATGCATGTATGCATACACACACACACACCCTAACACATGTATGTATGCATACACACACACACCCCCTAACACATGCATGTATGCATACACACACACACACCCCCTAACACATGCATGTATGCATACACACACACACCCCCTAACACATGCATGTATGCATACACACACACACACCCCCTAACACATGCATGTATGCATACACACACACACCCTAACACATGCATGTATGCATACACACACACACACACCCTAACACATGCATGTATGCATACACACACACACACCCTAACACATGCATGTATGCATACACACACACACCCTAACACATGCATGTATGCATACACACACACACCCTAACACATGCATGTATGCATACACACACACACCCTAACACATGCATGTATGCATACACACACACACCCTAACACATGCATGTATGCACACACACACCCCCTAACACATGCATGTATGCACACACACACACACCCTAACACATGCATGTATGCATACACACACACACACCCTAACACATGCATGTATGCATACACACACACACCCTAACACATGCATGTATGCATACACACACACACCCTAACACATGCATGTATGCATACACACACACACACCCTAACACATGCATGTATGCACACACACACACCCCCTAACACATGCATGTATGCACACACACACACACCCTAACACATGCATGTATGCATACACACACACACACACCCTAACACATGCATGTATGCATACACACACACACCCTAACACATGCATGTATGCATACACACACACCCTAACACATGCATGTATGCACACACACACACACCCTAACACATGCATGTATGCACACACACACACACCCTAACACATGCATGTATGCATACACACACACACACCCCCTAACAACATGCATGTATGCACACACACACACACACCCTAACACATGCATGTATGCACACACACACACACACACACACACCCTAAAGCACATGGCTTAAGAAATAGTATATTATTGATAACTTTAGAAATCTCTGTGCCCCTCTATCATCGCGCCTCCCCACTGCATCTCTAAAGGTAAGCATTTGATTTTTTTATCATTCTTTGAAATTTCTTCAGTTTTACTACATATGTTTTTATTCCTAAATAATGTATTGCTTAGTTTTACATTTTTGACCTTCATGCAAATGTATGTATTTTGGGAAATTTGATCTTTAACTCTCACAATGAGGTTTCTGTGACTTGTTCATGAGCACCTTTTAGGCACTGGAAAATTTCATGATGTGAAGAGATCATCATTTAGGCAGATGGGCCATTTGTGATGTTTCTACTTTCTATGTCATTGTAAAAGATGCTGCTACAAACACTCTTCTACATGTCTAATTGTATGAATGTGCAACAGTTTATCCAGATGAAATTGGAGTTTTAGAATAGGTACATATTCAACCATATAGATATTTTCAGATTTTTATCTGAAGTGAGCATATCAATTTACGCTTCCACCAGTAAAACATGGAGGTTCCTGATACTCCACCTTCCATCAATACTTGACGTGCTCTAAATGGTCATTCACACAGAAAATGAATCCTGGCTGACTGACCACAGATATTCACTACAGAATCACATAGTGCTTCTAAGAGTCAGACCTTGAGTTATAGTTCCTTAAAATAAACTTGTCCTATCTGAAGGCTAGAAAGTAACCAGTGTTTATATCCATAAGATGGCAAGCAGAAGTTTAAAAAATAATTCTGTTGATGCTTACAGTTTAGATCTCCATTTTTCTGGCAAGAAAATTCCCTATAATGTTCTGAACATGATGTCAAAACATTTGTGTCAAACTGCTGTGTTCTGCCAAAGAGGTAAATTCTCCAGTCAAAACAATTAATTAGAAGATATTAATGATGACTTTCATGATTAAGAAGTCACCGTGAGTGTAGAGAGAAACTGAAAGAGGAAAAAAATTCACCCAAATCAGGATGCAGAAGATAATCTAGTCTGTTGATCTCCATGTGGGAATTTTGCTTTGAGTTTTCTAACTCTTCTGTCATAATTTCTCCAACTCTAAATCACTCAATTAATAGACCATCAGAGGCTTCAGATTTATGAAGGGCTTAAGCCTCAAACACAATTCTTGCTTCTCTTCTTAACATATTTAGTCTTTGTGATATTTTATTCTTATTACAAAAATACTTTGGATGCTGAAAATCATCATACTGCCCGTAGATCACAAATTGCTAGTTTAGTCGGTTATAGACCATCTTGTAATCATTAGGTGAAGAAGTTCACTGGTAAAATCATTAAATTCTCGAGACATAAATTATTTGCAAAAACATTACTCAGCTTCTTTCAAACCAAGCCTATATATCCATATACCATATCTATCTATCTGTCTATCTATCTAATGATCAATCTATCTATTATCTCTCTCTGTCTCTCTTCCTAACTCTTTACCCATCTCCAAAAGGCAGTGCCCAGATATGAGGATGGGGCTTATGATTTTAGCTGATTAGGGTTGATGATGAAACTCAGGTCAGACAAGCCAATATCTCCAAGGAACAGTTAACTTTCCAAATGACCTACAAAGTGTATTCCATGCCCACAGCACAACCATTCTACAAATGAATGTTGGTTCTGAAGGGATTAGTGGAAGAGAAAATACAGTGTGGCAGAATACAACTCTCACCATTTCTAGAGCAGAAGATGATACACTACTGATGGTTGGCTCATCAGGTCATCCTTCACAAGAAGGAAGAGCATGTTAGACTTTGGTCAACAAAGACCTCCGTTGAGACCATCAAGGAATGACCAAGGGGAGACTCCATCTCTGGGTAGTTGTGAATGCCAATGGCTGAAAAACAGGAGGGAGAGCAAGCAGCAGCCTCCCTCATGGCTTTGTAGACACTTTGCAAGAAAATGTTCTTTTATCTCACTGGAAACTTGCCCGATCATAATGCACACATCTAAACATTACTAACACTCAAGTAGAATAAATATACATAATCAGGAATATATCCATCCATACTTTGCATTTCTTTCTCCATATTTCTCAAGGGCTGGCTACGTGTTTATCCTTCAACAAAATCAAAAGCTTCAGCTTACAACCTCTGTGACTTACCTATAATTTAGTTTAACTTATTAATTAGTACTTATATTACAACAAAATGTATCTGCTCAAGAAAATATGAACACATATTTATTTTCCATACTTATTCCTATTTTACTGACAGTCCTCAGGTGATCATATTTCCTCTTGCGCTTCTACCCAGCTAATTCCTTATAAATTCATTTTGGGGCTCTAGTTTCTTTGGCATTTAAAACATTGTTGAGATTCAATGTAAAATACCATTTTAAACATTGGAATTATATGCCCTTTATATTGTTAAATAACCGCTCGTAATTATTTCCTTCAGTGCCTTCCTGCAAATAATCTTTCCATATGATCAAATAATGTTTAGGAAATTAATAATTTTAAAATGGGCTGTTATAGATTTTACAGACAGTGCAATAGAGAAACATTTTTAGGAGTACACACAATCTTTATGCTGGGATGTAAATACTGAGGAGATCAAAGTGGCGAAAAAAGGGAGCATTGCAGGACAGGACCAATAGCTATGAAAAATACTCAGGCTCTTTGGCACAGCCCTGCAACAGAAAAATAGGGTATGGGAATAATCTTTGTACAAATGTACTTTCTTTGGGTGATGTAATACTAGGTTCCTGTTATGTATTATTTTTAATTTTACTTCTTTAAGTAATTATCTTTCATTTCATTTGTAGGACTGATCTCACAAGTGCCATAAATGTCAAAGAAGAACTTAAACAAAAGCAGACATCCGCTACATAGGAATTATTCAATGTTTAAATAGTGCAATGTAGAATTATCCCTTATATCCAAGGTCTAGAGATGTTATCCTCAAGGAAAGGTCCAAAAGCAGACTCGTGATTTATCTTATTCATAAGCCCCAGGCAATGCATGGTATGAAATCACAAAAATAAGAGGTAACAAAAGAAATTCTCTGTAAGAATCTATACTTTGTATTCATTAGTCCTCCCTAATCCAGTTATACAGGTGTCAGCAAAGGGCTCTTCTTTTACCGGGAAGGAAATTGGCCACATTGACACGTGATGGAAAAGAAGAAATGCCAGGTGCTGATGTCCTGACCAATAACTTGTCTTCACTCGCAGGTCCAAGAAGAGTGTCATCCTGACTCCCTAGAGGATTATAACCTCTGAATGGACTGTCTCATGAGTATTTATCATCCTTAAAACCCTGATCAGAAATACTAAATGGTCATAGTTGCAAGGCACCTGCTACTAAAAGCTTTTCTGCTATACTGCTAATAAATACTGACATTAATCTTCAAACCACATAGAATGGCTTGAAATCTTGTCTTCTCTCACACAAAGCAAGGAACAGAAAGCCAGAATTATGCTTTGATACTTAGCAGATTTATCTAAGAGCAAGGACCACCAGTGAAGAATTTTTACCTTGATTTTTTTTTATAAACATTGGTTTTAAAAACAGAGTAAATGAGGAAAACCAATTAGAAAGCCCGCACATTTTCAATTACCTTGGAAACTCGGTTTGCCACTTCTCTGCCCACGGTCAGCCCCTGCACGAAGGTCCGGGCAGCAATGAAGGAACGGGTAATCTGAATCTTCAGTTTCCGGGGCACATCTCCAAATGGCTTGAGCTGGTCTGTGTATTTGCTCACACATTCCAGGTAGTCTTCACTGAAGTGATACTGAGGGTTTATCAGCTGAAACATTCGTTCCAGGAGCCGAGCCCAAAAGTCATTGAGCATTTCCTCCAGATTCACATTACCCCCAGTGTAGTACCTTTTCAGCTCTGTGAAGAGGTCCTGGAAGACCTCTGAGTTCTGCATGTACAACATGCCATAGGTCCGTACAAACATATCGTTTAGTGACTTTTCTGCATTCTCCAGGAGCTCTCGGAAAAATTCTGCAGATAAAACAAGAAAGAAGCCATAAATTAATGAAATCTAGAAAGCCTAAGACATCTACTTACCTTAAACACAACTGCTTTTAATTGACATTTTCATAGAAAAACATATCCTGTGATTAAGGTATTAATGAACAGATAAAAAACATATTTTAAATGGGATTTGACTTACATCTATAATTTCATACAATTCAAAACAGAATACCCCATGATTTCCATGAACATTAGGAGCCTATCATATAATCCTCCTCCACAATAGCTCAATTCTTTTATCATTTTTTGCTAAGTTTTAAATAATCCTATGGTTTGATACAAACTCAAATCAAATATGTTGCAAATATAATATGCAGAGTATTGTCATTTACATAATGATAAACACATTTACTTGTTTATTTACAAATTTGTCCTAACGCTAAATTCCATTACGTTGCTTTTATTTGGAAGAGTCCATAAACGAGATGTTCAAATTAATGTAATATTTTAGACTCTTTCTAGTTTCTATATAAAGCAATCAATTAGCTGCGTTCAGATATTCATAATGCAATTAAATTCACTTCATAATAAAGCTATAATGAACATAATTTAGGTGGCCATAATGAGTCAGAAAGTCATAAAGTATCTTGGATTGTCATTATTAATATAAACCATCATGTTGTAGAAATTGAATAAAATACTGACAATTTGACTTTCCAGTTATGAGGCTGTAAATGAGAAAGTAAGTGCACACCAATAATTGGAATCTTCCACTCTGCAACAGTGCTTGGGTGTTACTGGGATCACTTATAGGATGCAAAAAATTAAGACAGAAATTAAAGCCATCGGGTACCATTAGCCTCACTGGCCCTTGTGCTAGGCTCCCTCAAGACACACTTCGTGTGTGTAGGTCACCTATCGTTTTGCAAAACTTTGCTTAAGTAGAGCAAGCTCAAGTTTTATCTCATTCAGAGATTGTAAATTGGGGTGGGGAAAAAAGCTAAGGAAAGATAATACTTCTGAGGTTATCTGTCTAGGTTCCCAGGAGCAAAATAATTCTACTTTACCTCTTTATAGTCCCTTTTTATTCCCTGAATCTATGCCCCTTCTCAGAAATGCAGGGACAAATCAAGTCCTGCATTCTTCAAAAACTCCAAGTAGGAAGTTTTAAAAAGGACTCTTCTCCTTTCTGAGGCTCTGGGGATTCTCTCCTAAGATATGGAAAGGAAGTAGCGATGGACACCTCTCCATTACTTCCATGAAAGCTACTTGTGCATTCTTAGAAGTCGGCTGAAGAAGTGCTTGGTTAGTCACTTCAGTGCCAGGTATTAGACAATCAAACCATTGTCTGGATAATTAAATGGTCTGGATAAACCATTGTCTGGATAATTAAATCAGACCAAAGCAGCAATGTAAGTACTTTTCATTTGTTTACCTCCTTTCTATGAAAGAATTAAAAAAAAAAATAGACATTCTGTTACTACAGTGGCAGCAAAAACCGTGGGATTATAAATACTGTGTAATTTTGTCCACATCATCAAATGTTTTTTATTCTTATTTTTACTAAATGTAAAATCAAATTCAATATTATTAAATCTCCCCGAATCTTTAAGGATTCAGTAAAGAAAATGACTGTGAAGCAGATAGGACAAAATTTGCAACATTGTAAAGCATAAATTTATCAAAATATTATATGCTGTATGCTGATGTTATTTATGATTTTATGAAATCAAGAGCATTTCACACGTTCTTCAAAAATACTAGCTATCTAGTTTGTCCTAAAATGAAAACCATATTAAATTACTAATATAAAGTATTAAAAGATCATAAGTTAAACCTTCCGATCTTGAAACCAAGAATGAAACTAGCCTGGCCTTGCTGATACAGAAACAGGGTGGAAGGCATAACAGATTGTGAAAGAAGATAAAAAGAATGGGAAAATCACTGAATTGAAAAATACTAATATAATGAGACTGGAAAGTGGATTCTAATCATGAGCTCTGGACAGCTTATTCATTTATCTTCTTTTTGAGGTCAATTATTTTGTTGGACTCAGGAATTAAAGCTTAATTTATTGAATACAGCGTACTGCCTTCAGCAATGAATAGTCAGTAATCAATAGTGTGGTCTGGATTTGCAAAGAGCTTATAAAAAGAGAGAAAGAGAGAAAAAAATTTCTCTGATACTCATTGCTCTCCAAAGTCTTGAGAAATAAATGTTTGTCTTAGGAATAAAAATTTTATTTTTTCTTCTACGGAGGGTAACACCTCTTTAGGTTTTTTTTTTTTTTCTTCTCCTGATATGAGGACTCTGAATATTGAGCTATGCTCACTTTGAGAGTGAATGGTTCAAACGAGACTGCCCACTCACTGTGTCTTGTGATTTGTTTTTCTTAAGCTTAAATGAGTATAGAAACCAAGTTATCACATTCCAATAAATATGGCTCTAGCAACATTTCCTTAGATTCCAAGCTTACACTGTTGTCTAAGAGTTTGTCATTGTCTCAAAAGTTTCCTATGAGCTTCACTGATCCTCAAAGTCAAGTTATTATTATTTCTTGTTCAAAATCATTATATGGTTTACTGATCTCATAGTCAAAGTTAATATTTGGTATTGAAAGACGCTGAAGTATCAGCCAATTATGACAGATACTGCTACCTTAAGGTACATTGATCTAAGGTCTTATGAAAAATGGAGATCCAAGGTACTGAGGCAAAGCTAATGTCCTCTAAAAATAAGGGTACTCATTTCATTTTTACCCTGACTGTAGACTCCCACCTTTTGAAGTTAGACTGTTTGAAAAAAGTACTTTATGCTTGGATGAAAATTGTTTCTCAGCAAACCAAACAAGATGGAGATTTAGAAGACAGTTATGTGATCCATTTTGCTGATGAAGTATCATGTGCAGCCAACATCAGAGAGAACAAAATTCAAGGACGATGTAAGAAAAAGCAATCTCAACTGAACTGTTTTTAATCGAAGAGAGCAAAGCTCACATTGGATAAAGTCTTCAGTCAACAAATATTTTTATCTGCAAAAAACAGTTTGGCAGAAATGTTATTTGATTTCTTTCTTCTTCCCCAATCACAAAATATACATCAAAGGTGGTTGCTTAGGGCTCAGTTACGCTTCATAGGTGCAAAAAAAAAAAAAAAAAAAAAAACCTTTCCTAGCCAGCATTAGCCTCTGGACGATTTTATTCATCTAGAGGGGAGATCTCAATGCAAACATCTGTTTGCTGCAGGGCAGATTGTCTCAAGTGGGAGAACAGTCTTGTAGATAAAAACCACCACTGTTGCAAAAGCAAAAGCAAGTATGTGTGATGCTGCCTGATCACTTGGAGAGACCTCTTAAGGGGCAGAAACCAACTCCAAGGAGCCAAGAGGTGCCCTAAGGATATCTGAGAAAGGCTCCAAATGAAGCCTTCAAATAAATGGACTGAAAGGTAAGATGGCACACAGGGACAAAGGGAAGCACAGCAGGAGGGAAAAGACAGTCAAGAGGCTCTCTAGGAATTCGGTCTCCATCACATAGCAAAAGCTTTCCCCATTCAACCCAGAAATGTCTTTTTAACATTTGGTAAATAAACACGTTCTGTGCTGGATTAGGTACAGGACTGGATTAAGCACTATATAACATTCTTTTTCCTATTCTTTTTTCATGCTCTCAGAGACATTTCCTATTAAAAACATGTTTAAAATGAATGTTTCGGCATGGGTGGTGTGAATCTATATTTTTCCGGAACCCAAGGAGTGAAAAGCTTTAGTCATTAGTCAGTCAAGATTATACCACTTGTCTGACTGTGGGACGCAGGTATGCTCTTAAACCCAGAAATACACACGTGTATGCGTGTGTATATTTGTGTTGTTCTCTGCTAATCTCTTAGTCTCTGCTTTCCTTCAACAACAGCATGCTAAAACAGTTTGGGAGTCAGCCCAGCCAAGCTGTGGCTAAGGAATGATCCACAGGAGGTGCTGACATGGAGGATGAAATGGTTCTGAAAGCTGACATCCAGCCTGATGCAGTGGCTCACACTGGTAATCCCAACACTTTGGGAGGTGGGCAGATCACCTGAGGTAAGGAGTTCAAGACCAGCCTGGCCAACATGACAAAACCCCGTCTCTACTAAAAATACAAAAATTAGCTGGGTGTGGTGGCAGGTACTGGTAGTCCAGGCTACTCAGGAGGCTGAGGCAGGAGAATCACTTGAACCCAAAAGGCAGAGGTTGCGGTAAGCAGAGATCCCACTCTGCACTCTAGCCTGGGGGAAAGAGCAAGATTCATCTAAAAACAAAAAAAATTTGAAAGTTGATGTCCTATAAGGGTTGTGATCCACAGATACACAATAAACTTACCAGCTTGACTCCCCTCCTGCCTTTTTCAAGGTGAAATTAGGAATATTCTTTCTCATTCCACATGCATGTGCCAGCTTTCAGGTAGATCATTTCTCCTTTCAAAAGGCATCTTGCTTATGTAAGAGCCTGATATAATCTACAGGAAAATGCTGCGTTAATGTGGAACATGCATGAAGGGAAACCCACAGTGCCATTTATCCTCTTCTGTGGTAGATCGTGAGGGAGGGAGAACATGGTCTGTAAATGGCCTATCTCTTCCCACTTCCCAGCGGCTGGGACCTTAAAAATAAGTAGAAGTAAAGATGGACATTGCTCAGGGCATCTGTCCTTGCCACATGAGGCGGCATCCTTTGCAACCTGCACGATGACTCTAGTCTATCTCAGGTGTCAACCTCAGCACTGTGCACATTTTGAGCTCGATAATTCCTTCTTTGGGCAGCATTTTGGGGAGCACCGTGCTGTATATTGTAAAATATTAAGTAGCATGCCTGGCCTCTGCCTTTTAGATGCCAACAGTATGTCCTTCCCTCAGTAGTCACAATCAAAATGTCATCAAACATTATCAAATGTTCTCTTGGGGACAAGACCACTCTCACTCCCTTCCTTACTCCTACCTGCTGAGAGCCACCCTTCTACTGATAGATTCCAGAGGTCTACAAATAGAAAGTTAAA